TATAGTCCTATAAAGGTAGTCTCGACAACTTCCTGTTCTCAGAGTCGATAGATTATATTAATAGACTTAATGTTTGTAGCCTTTCAAAGTTCGTTGTAATAGTAATTTTACTGTTTTTTTTTGTATCTGAATCACCATAAAATAAATAAATACTATGAACACATTGGTTGCCTCGTATAACAGGCAAGCTAGAAGAAATGTACACCACTTTTTCAAGAAATGTGGGCCTACAAATAAATGAGGAAAAAACCAAAATGATAGCATCAACACTCAACAAAAGAGTCAATCAGATTGGTCACCAATTTACTGTTAATAACTCAAGCTTTGAAGTGGCGGACAATTCACATACTTGGACTCTCTGATGGCCAACGACAACTCCATAACGGAAGAAATCAAACGAAGAATAATTCTAGCAAATAAGTGTTATTTTGGACTGTGTGGTCACATGAAAAGTAAAATTTAAGCCAGAAAACAAAAAAAAAATAACAATATACAAAACCCTTATACTGCCAGTGCTGACATATATATTGGAAAGATGGGCCATCTTCACGACAAATGAAAACCTCTTGCTCATATTTGACTGAAGAATCCTTGGAGGAATTTTAGGTGGCATCTGTGAAAACGGTATTTGGAGGAGGAGGTACAACTATGAGATATACCACAAATACAAAAAGATATCTGGTGGCAAAGACATGATATCTCTCATAAAAATAGGAAGGCTAAGATGGGCAGGAGGTCTAGAAAGATCGCAGCAGAATAACCTTCCTAAATGAATCCTTATGTCACAATCGGTGGTAATTAAGCCAAAACTTAGATGAAAGGATGGTGTAGACCTGTAAACGAAGATGCTTTTCCACGAAGGGATGAATATGCTATACAGCATACTTTACTGTTATAAGAGAAGTTCAATAAGAGAACCTAAATAATATAGTTGAATTGAGAGATCGATTTAAACCTACTGAATATTACGATACCGAGAAAGATCAAACAGAATAAGAAATTCGATTAGAGTAATAGACTAGTAGATTAGATCCGATACAGTTCGGATGAGAGACTGGAGAAGGTATGTTATATATTAACACGCTTTTATCATACCGTACAATTTGTTCTTAATATCTTGTATACCCAAAAACTTTTCAAAGCGATTTTATAGATACATGTTTGCAAAAATATCGTCAATCAGAAATAAGCGCTACCCTGAAAAAATTAAAACAACTTTTTAAAACCTCGTTGACTTACTTATAATACAAAATTGGCGCTGAAAGATCATCACACTAGGCGAAATTTTACGCTTAGACTAGACTACTAAAGCTAAGTCACAGGAAGTGAGTCGAATATGTAAAAAACTCGTATGTTAAGTTTTGTTTCAACTTTTTTCTTAAATTTTACTAATCTTATTTTTAAACAATAATAACAAATATTTTGCTCAGTATAGAAATTAAATTAGATGCCTCTCATACGCATAAAAACAAAGACAGACATGAATTGTTTTCAAAACTGTAAAGTAAAGAATTTTTATTCTATTTAAATCACGATCATATAATACAAGATAGACAGCGTTGCAATACCAGCCCGTTCCCCTAGTGCGACAGAGAAAAGTGCAGTCCCTGCATCTCTTTCTATAAACCCGACCCATTAGAAAGATATGCGGTGAGCGGTGACTGCCTTGCGTCTGCGTCAGTTATCTCTGTTGTACTGGGGCAACGAGTTGGTATTGTAACGCTCAGTCTATCTTTTATTTTATGTCTATGATTTAAATACAACAAAACATAACGTAAAAGTGTTACGATCGATTTGACTAATGTAACAAAGGCTTCTCTAAGAAGGTAAGTATACTGTTGGTATAGAAAAAAATTAGGAAAAAAGTTTAAATTAATTAATCATGATATTTTATAAGCTATTAAAAGTGTGTAAGTCAGAATATATATGCTCTAATGGTCGTGTACGTTAGTAATGCTCGTGTTACGTTAGACTTTAGTACTCTAATCCGTCGTTTATCAACAATACGTCAGTTTAGGATGCTATTCCGCTAATCAATCTTCTGTAACTTTACAGGAAACTCAAAAACTAGTAAAATGGTCATAATACTAATATTAAAACTAGTTTTTTGCCCCTCCTGTGAAGTTACAGTAAAGTTGGCGGATTAACTTTTGAGCCGACGAATAGCTTTATATTCATGCTGTTGTAACTTATGACAACTCAGCTGCATATGTGCAGCATTGCACATATGTCCCACAATTTATACAGTACATTCATTTTTATACAGGAATTTCCGAACATGCTTGTTTTAATTAAAATTTGGAATGATCAATAGGATCTTCAATTGTATTTTTTGAAGATTTCTTAAGATTAACATTTAATAATGTAATAACTGAGTGTGTAATGTCATCACATTCTAATAAACATCCTTTATACAGAATGTCTTTAATGGTCATCAAGGCAACGATTTTTACAATCAACAAAGGCTCACTTTTGGGTGTATAATAATCATCAAAATATTAAAAGGTAAAGAGTATTTTTTCTAAACTCAAAATTCAACACGACTGTCAGTGAATCATATAGTCCTAGACACTTGGTGAAGAATTAAACATTGATTTAGTTATTTTCATAAAAATTGGCCCCTCAATTAACGTTTTTGCCGCTAACATCTGTTATAGACAAAGTAGACTCGCCTTGTTGTAAAATTTATTATTTAATACGACGTGCATTTTAAGTATTGAGGTTTATCCGGATCAACACGATCAAAACATCTGAATGCCACGGGATGGGCAGCGAGAGTATATTATCTTTTTCGATAATAGTAAAGTCTGGCAACGGTGTAACCTCGAATGTAAACAAACAATGAAATCGGGTAGTCACCAGTACTTCATCAGTAAATTGTCTGGCTAATTGGAAACGAAACCAACGTTCAGTACACATGTCGATAAAATATATAAAAAGGTGGTGTTTATATGTAAGAGAAAAACAAAGGATCAAGTCAGTACGTCACGGATTTTATTTTGGAAACGAAATACCCAGGTTAAAAGCCATTCAACAAAAAATAAATGTAGATGATACTTTAAATAGAGTATCCTTAAGGATGTTGTTATTGTTAAATCTGGGATAATTTCTGCCTTTGTTTCACTCAGGAGTCCACTCTTTACCACAGTACCTGCATGTGTCGTCATCCACGTTTCAGTTAACTCAGGTGATATCTGCAGTGGATATACCCTGTTAGTATACCACACAGGAGTCTTAGCTCTCTTCTGTTTAGATTCAGCACATCCTTCCCCCTCTTTTATCCTTGGTCTTCTTCTTCTAATGGCGCTACAACCCTTTGTGGGTCTCGGCCTGTGTAACTGCATTCTTCCATTATGCCCTGTCAGATACTTTCCTACGTATCTGCCCGATGTTCATAGATTTAAGATCTTCCTCTACATCGTCTATCCACCCTTTACGGGGCCTTCCTATATCCTTGGAGTTTCCATCTCTGGATTATTTTACAGCTCGATCACCTGGGATTCTTTCTAAGTAGCCAAGCCAGTTTAGTCTTTGTGACTGTACAAATCTAATGATATCTGCGCTCTGCATTCATTCATTCAAGTCATAGTTCATTTTTATTGCCCAGGAACTATCGCCATAGCTACAATGGGTTGGTCCAAATATTTTTCTTAATATTTCGCGCTCAAATATTCTCAATTAATTTTCAGCAGCCAGCGGTTGAAAGGGTCGACGTTTCACATCCATATGTGACTACTGGTCTAATTACTGTTTTGTAGCTTTTATCCTTGGTATTACAAAGAATATTACATGAAATTAATTTTCGATATGTAAAGAGAAATAGGAAAAGTTTTTTAGTCGAGAAAGACGAAGTACGTGGAGACCTTGTTTACAAAAAATTCGTGGTTTTAGACGTTTTGCCAAAAAAATATATAATGGCGAAAAGTAGTTGGCCGACCAAGATTTAAATTTTGAAGGATAACGACAAGCTTTTAATGAATGACTTTCAACCGGCTTATTAGGTCTCGTTATTACCCAACTAGGAACTGATTCTAATTTTTGTCTATATATTATACAAGTTTGTTTAAATTTGTACTTTAATCAAAAGTGATATGGGCATAAGTAAAAAAATGAGGTCGTACTTAAGAATGTCACATTCAAAGTAAAGAGTATGTTCAACGAAGTCTGAAATTGTGCATAGTACTTCCTCTTAATCGTTGAAAGCTATTGTCAAACGGCAATTAATAGAAAAAACGTCAACTGAATATTTTTAATTGCAAATAATTAAAGAATCTAAAGTATCCAAAAAATATCGCATAATTTTTCTCACGAATGAGTCCTGACAATGATTTCTCTGATTATAATAAATTTACACCCTGCTATTGAACTGCATACGTTTCTTGCCACAGACCCCTCTTAAGTCTATGCTTTTGAATCTAAAACCTGACAATCACATTGAATTTCGGGTATAACGGCACAGCAATGCTGTCAGAAATAGGTTTAATCATTTTTTGAGTGATGTCGCCACAGTTAGATTCATAAAACATTGCAGTTAATTTCTACAAAAGACAAATGTGTAATTTTCCTTTCACAACAAAATTTTATACTAGTTAAATTTACTTATCCTAAATTTGGATCGAATTGTTAGAGTAGATAGAACTATCTCTCGAAAAAATTTTTAATCCTATTTATCTGGCCAATGCTGTGAAGAACACCCAAGCGGTATATTAAATAGATAATATCTTCAGTTAACATATTTACTTGCATCTATTCTATGATGTGATGATGACACACAGTCAGTGATTTAAACGAAAACAACGCCCATAAAAAATGTCTAGGGATATACAAAACAAGTCATACGTTTTTATGTATGTACTGTCATATGGTCATTGAAAAACAGGTTTTTCTATTTTACTATGTCTCAATGATCTGCTGATATTTTCATCCAGTTTTAACTTATGCTAAGACGTCTTTGATATTGACATTACAAATGTCCTTGACATTTTTTATGCGTGTATTTTGTACAAATACTCCCCAAATTATACAGAAAATCAAAAATCATTTTACATATATTTATATATGTTCTCCAATTTATTTTTCACTTCCTTCATTCAAGAGTAGTCAAAATCTTCGTGTAACGTTATGTAAAAAACGTTATTAGTTTTAGTCACCTAGAATTAATCTTAACTTTCAGCTATTTCGGTAAAAATCACATTTCCTAAAGTAAAAAATTATTGATATGACTTTAACTTCCTAGCTAAATTTTTGTCTGGCCTATTTCTAATAATTCCCATTGTTGACGTCTGCATGGCTATCTTCATACAGATTACCTAGAAAAATCAAACAATATTTATAAATAATACAGATTATAATAAATTTTGATGGTTAAACAAGGTTTATAGTCAAACACTGACCCATAATAAGTATAATAAGTTTAAAATTTTAGGAAAAGACACTTAAGATTTTTGATTTCACGTATAGTACGTCTGTGTATCCGCTTATACGTATTTCGTTCTAATAGGGCTCTTCAGAACGGCAATTCAGAGTCGCTCTGAACGTGGAAATAAATATCTTCTTTCTTAGGAAGCAACTCTAACATGGCTTCGAATGGATGCAAATAGCGACTAATTTTCGAAACCAAATTCAGACTTTTGCTTTAATCTGTGCCTTCTAAGAATTGCAAGGCAAAACAGACGTTGATAAAGATGTTATTAGAGACATGGGGAATCTAAAATTTACATTCCACAACATATCTCTTCAACTAAGCAAAAATCCTTAACGAATTCGTTTCTAGTACTCGTACAGAGTATATCAGAATAAAAGAAAAAGACAGTTAAGATTCGATTTCACGTATAGTGCGTCTGTATATCTGCTTATACGTATTTCGCCCTAAAAGAGCTCTTCAGAACGTCAATTCAGTCGCTCTGAACGTGAAAATAAATATCTTCTGTCTTAGGAAGCAATTCTAACATTACAGATTAACAAAATTAGATTCAGATTAACAAAAATCTGAATTTGGTTTCGAAAATTAGTTTACGGATTTAAAATTTTAGGTTATAATAAAAGGGTTTTATCGGGAAAATAATAGAATATCCAGTAAATGTGAACATATTAGACCACGTTAATCATTACTATATTATACAATATATCATATAAACACCGAAAAAGATTCTTAATCTTTTTGCGTCTCTGAGATTGAAATATAAACAATTTTAGTCTGTTTGTAATAAACAAATTTGTTTGTCATTTGATCGTTGTTCCGTCTAGATATTTGCGCAGGAAATAAACAGAAATTTTTCTGCTTATGTTTATACTGATTTTTGTGGATGATGTCACTTTGCGATGGGGCGCCGTAAGAGGCAGACGTTTTTATTGTGGAAGTCTGAATTTAGTCACCGGGACTTCGATGTTAGTCGCCAAACAGAACAATTTAGTCTGAAGAGTCTGAACTGAGAAGGTAAAGTTTATTTTTGGTACAGTTTTGAAAACCGGCAAATTTTTCCTTAATTCCATGAGTACTGATTATGGCTCCTCTACACATCGGCAGACGCGTCCGCGGAAGACCTCTACGTATGCATATGGAGATGTGTAGATGGGGTAATTTGATCATCTGTTGTTTATATGTCACATCCGCGGATGCGTCTGCAACATATCCGATTGTTGTCGGTTTTCTTTGGTTCAGAGCTGTAAAAGATACTTTTTAAAAGTATCTAGATACTTGTAAGATACTTTAGGCAAAAAGTATCCTAAGATACTAAGTATCTAAGATACTTTTTTGTGAAAGTATCTAAAGATACAAAATACCGGAAAAGTATTTAGAGTAAAAATATCTTAGATACTTTCAAGTATCTAAGATACTTTTGAGTATCTAAGATACTTTTAAGTATCTAAAATACTTTTAAGTATGTAAGATACTTTTATGTATCAAAGATACTTAGATGCTTTTCTAGTATCTAAGATACTTAGATACTTTTGTAGTAACTAAGATACTTTTAGGGTATAATATAAAGGTACTCGGTACTCTACTACTCTACAGTAGATTGTCAATACTTTTGTTTTAAAAACATCATTTTAACCCTTTAAATTATCATACAATTTTAGTTTAAGCCAGCAGGTACTTTGAAATGGTATACTTTGGGCTTTAGGGTAGATAAGAAATAAAAGACGTTAAGTTATTACAAACTAATAACTATGTATTGAAAACAAAAATCCAACATTAAATTTTCAAAACAATATAAAATAAACATAAATTCGTGTGTTAAAAACAGCATAAGATGCATTATGCATTAAAAACAGAACATTCAACATAATTAAATTTTTAAACACAATAGGATAGGATATAAAAAATAGTAACATTTTGGTAGCTAATAACTAGTTAGTATAACCACTAGCTTTTGGTAAAACTAAATTTTCAAAAGTATGATCAGACAAGGCATGACGTCGGGGTGAAATAATAAAAGTTGCAAAAGAAAACATTCTTTTAACAGCTGCAGAAGAAGATAATGGCGTATTGAACTTTTTAAATAATTGTTCTATAATATTATATTTTTTTAACATTTGTATGTTGGTTTCAGAATCGGCCAAATATTGTAATTGTTGCAGTTCAGCTTGTCGTTTATAACCTAAATCAGTATAGCCAGTGTTTTCGTTTTGCGTTTGAAGATCGGAGTATTTTTCGTTAATATCAAATTCAAAGAAGTCGTTTTGCATTTTGTTACTTTTCATTACAGTAGTAATGTTATTTGTACTGTTATGATATATAAAATCAAGAAAAATATTGGTTTGATTAAAATATTTCAAAGTTCAAAAACATTAAAATAATTCAGATAAGTAGGATAATAACCAACAAACATTTCGAAGAAGGAAAGTTTTTAAATTTTTGGATTACCTGTATTAAACAAAATGTACTATGCGTAAATTATTTCTTTTGTTATACTATACTTGAGTGACCCGCATAATTTTAAGTGAAATCCAAAGAACAATTGAACCGGGTTTTCCAAATACATTAACGCAGTGATTATAGACAATAGAAGAGATTTGGAAAGAGGTTTTTGTTAGTTTTTGAGAATTATAGAAAAATATTATTTGTAGATAAGTTTTAGGAAATTTTATAATTATAGGTAAAAATTTGTTTGTTATCGGAATGAAAAAATGGGGAATTGTGACGAGTTTTGATTGGCGGAGATAAAAAAAGGTGGGATAGGTATGTAGGAATGAAAGTTTAGCTAGAATTTTGAGGGAGAAAAGATAGTCAGTTGGTTTCCAAGGGTGCAAGGCCGTTGTTCTCGGGTAGTTTCCCAGAGGTAGGAAGCAGTAGCAGTGAAAGTTTGTGAGTTTTCGTGTAGTTAGTGTATCTGACAGAAGCTGATCCAGTAAAATATTGTAAGTCATATTTTTCTACTTATATTCCAAGAGTCACTGTTCAGGCCAACGAGAGATTCAGTTTATCGTAAAGAAAAGATATTCCAAGAGTCATTTTTCACTCAGGCCAACGAGAGATTCAGTTTATTGAGAGAAGAAGAAGCTAGCATAATTTGAACGATTCGTGCATTTGAAGGAGATCATTAAGGACGAGATACTTGCAATAACTTATTGTAAGATTGCTGATTACTTAGGGAGCGGCCACGAGTAAATAGTATAGTCTACAAATAACAAGGATTTGGACCACTCATCATCAGAGAGAGATAGTTTTGTTTTCTGCAGTTTTTCTTTCATTGATAACACAATTTTTACACTTAATTTAGAAAGGATATAAATATTTTGATTAGGAGATTTAGAGTAATACTTGGATTTTGAGATTTCAACTAATATTGTTTGTACCATTAATTTTGATTGTTCACGTACGTAGAACAAAATTTTGAGAATTATTATATGAGATTTCGTTTATTGAAAACTTTTGAGTATGAATTATTTCATTATTTTTATTTCAATATATAGTGTTAGATCATATGTGTTTTTTTATTATTCCGGTATTCTTTGGACCTTACCTTTCACATGTAATAGCATAGATATTGAAGCACGAATTTAACCCTGAGATAAAAGAATTAAAAATTGTGATAGAGTCATAATCATATCATTTCAATAATTTTAATTAATCAAAAAATTAATTAGCTAATTATTGCTTGGCGCACCAAGACTTTAAATATCACAATAGTACTTACATCAAATTGTTTTAATTGTTCCTCATTTTCTTTCATGATTTTTATAGCTTCTGTAATTACCAAATCCTTAATTTCACTAAGGTCATTTTCGATATTCCTGATTCCTTGAAATGCAGTAAGCCAACGTGCTTTAAATAAAGGATTAGTAACTGCAGCAATTATTGCAGTATGGTTAGTCAACTTAAGAAGTTTTTCAAATCTGGAGTTTAAAGATCCTGTCAAAGTATCTACAAATTTTGCCTAAAGTATCTTACAAGTATCTAGATACTTTTAAAAAGTATCTTTTACAGCTCTGTGACACAGTAACACCGTCGTAAAACCCTGAGTGTTCCCGAGCAATGCAATTCACTGCAATAGTGTGATTTGATTCAAGATACAACAAAAAGAGACAGTGTGTCCTTTGCTTTGTGTCCTTTGTACTCAAAAAGGTTTTATTTGTGAAAAGATCAACTCTCGGTTAGACTCTCGCACAACTAATAATTAAATGTAAAACAGATGTTACAGCTTCTTCATCTGTTTTAACAATATCTCTCCTTATTTCGATGGTTTGGCCAAATATTGAGGGCTATGATGTATCATTTATATGAAATAATTACATGCTGTAAACTCCGATTTTAACATATCTATGTAAAAATTGTCAAATCGGTATGATGTAAGAAGTACGTATAACGGGTTGCCTACCTTGATATGTAATTTTAACTTATGTAATTGTAATTTTTAAGCTGTCTAAAATTACCTGCCGTTTTTGCTCTTAGTTAGGTTATATTATTGTATGTTATTTTGTGAAAACGTTTACTATTTTTTATAATTATAATAAAATAAACTAATGGCTTCAATTAAACAGAAACAAACCAGGAAACAATTGGAAGTGATGTTAGGATCACAAAAATGTTTTAGATTTTTTATTTTGTCGATCTTTGTGTTATTGTTTTTGATTTTGTAACTAATTGTAACATTTGAAGATTTGTTGGAATGTAAAAATTATAGGGGTATAACTCTTCTGAATACAATGTACAAAATATTCTCCAACACCCTGTACAGCCGTTTAAGTACGTACGTGGAAGAAATCCTTGGTGAGTATCAAAGCGGTTTTAGGCCAGGTAGGTCAACAATTGACCAGATTTTTGTGCTACGTCAAATCTTAGAAAAAACCAATGAATTTAATATTG